GTAGGTTGGAGGCCATCGCTAGTAGGTTGGAGGCCATCGCTAGTAGGTTGGAGGCCATCTCTATTAGGTTGGAGGCCATCGCTAGTAGGTTGGAGGCCATCTCTAGGTTGGCGGGCATCGCTAGTAGGTTGGAGGCCATCTTGGAGGCCATCGCCAGTAGGAGGCCATCTATATTAAGATGGAGGCCATCGCGAGTAGTTTGGAGGCCATCGCTATTAGTTTCGATGCCATCGCTACTAGCTTGGAGGCCATCGCTACTAGGTTGCAGGCATATTGGTTGGTTAGAGGGAAGGTTGGAGGCCATCGCTAGCAGGTTGGAGGCCATCGCTAGTAGGTTGAAGGCCATCGCCAGTAGTTGGCGGGATAGGGCTTGGCTATTAGGTAGGAGGGCATCGCTGTTAGGTTGGATGCCATATTAGGCTGGAGGCCATCGCTATTAGGTTGGAGGGCTTGGCTATTAGGTTGGAGCCATTAGGTTGGAGGGAATCGCTAGTAGGTTGCAGGGCTATTGCTATTAGGTTGGAGGCCTTCGCTAATAGGTTGGAGGGGTTTGCTGTTAGTTTGGAGGCCATCGCTAGTAGGTTGGAGGCCATCGCTATTTGGTTGGAGGTCGCTGGTAGGTTGGAGGCCATCGCTATTAGGTTGGAGGCCATCGCTAGTGGGTTGGAGGCCATCTCTATTAGGTTGGAGGCAATCGCTAGTAGGTTGGAGGCCATCGCTAGTAGGTTGCAGGGCATTGTTATTAGGTTGGAGGTAGGTTGGAGGCCGTTGCTCTTAGGTTCGAGGGCATCGCTATTAGGTTGGAGGCCATTTGCTATTAAATTAGGTAGGAGGCCATTGCTATCAGGTTGAAGGCAATCGCTAGAAGGTTGGAGGCCATCGCTATATAGGAGGGCATCGCTATAAGGTTTGAGGCCATCGCTATTAGGTTGGAGGGCGTCGCTTTTACGTTGGAGGCCATCGCTATATTAGGTTGAAGGCCATCGGTATTAGGTTGGAGGCGATCGCTATTAGGTTGGAGGGCTTCGCTTTAAAAGGTTGGAGGCCATCGCTAGCAGGGTGAAGGCCATCGCTACTAGGTTGAAAACCACTACTAGGTTGGAGGCCATCACTAGTAGGATGGAGGCCATCGCTACTAGGTTGGAGGCCATTGCTACTAGTTTGGAGGCTATCGCTAGTAGGTGGGAGGCCATCGCTAGCAGGTTGGAGGCCATCGCTATTAGGTTGGAGGGCAGAGCGGCCTTTTAAATTTTTGAACCTCAAGGTGACGGCCAACTCGGCCGTGGTCACGTGGACGTCTCTGACTAGTGGGTCTACACCGGCGGCAAGGTTGCGGCACGTGTTTTTGGAACTGCATGTTGAAAAAGAAACAACAGGCTCTCTTGTCAATAAGCTGTACATGACAGGTCTGGTGCTGGAATGGCTACTGATGGTGTGTCTGGTCCAACTCAGTTGAGCAGCTTCAAAAACCTCTATGATGGAAAGTGTGCAAACTGTAATCTCACATTCTTTCGCGAAAGCCAAAACGCAGGTCGCGAAAGGTTCGCGAAAGCCCCGCGAAAGAACCCCAGAAGAACAGCGTCGCGAAAGCTTTCGCGAAAGTCGAATTTCTTGTGCATGTCGTGTTGTTTATGTGGGTGACCATATTTTTATGCAGGCAGCCGCAGCAGGCCAGCCAGCCAGCCAGCCAGCCGCAGCACACCAGCCAGCAGCAGCAGCAGCGCTGAAGAGCAAGTGTTTCAGGGGAAAATCGAAAAGCCCAGACGAATTTCCGCGAAACCCGCGCGAAAGCCTCGCGAAAGAACCGCGAAAGTCGAAAATATCCGGGAAAGGTATCTGGCCCCAGCAAAAAGTTTCAGCAAGTTTTCCTCCTCTTCTGATGACAACAATAATACTTGAACGGTGCTGCTACAACTCCTTGTGCCAGGATGTTGCCGGAAAGAAATTTGTTCAGTTTTGACCACCCTAAGGACACTTATATCGGATAACTTATATAGATCAATCACTTTATTGTACAATATCCCAATCGAATTTCCCAATCGAAAACGAATCGCCGCGAAAGCCGCCGCGAAAGCCCCACATAACACCACACCTTCCGCGAAAGCCAGAATGCAGGCCGCGAAAGCTCCGCGAAAGCTGTGCGAAAGCAAACCTGGATTATACAAAAAAGTAATAGGGGTTTTCGAAGCTGCTCAGTTGTTTTGGGAGTTGCATTTTTTTCAGTACACTAGGATGAAGCTGTGTTCGGTTTGCAAGTTGTTGGTTGCAACTCATGCAGGAAGCCAGGTACTGGAGATTGTTTCGATGTCCAAATCGCTGTCTGCTGAGGACAACATCTGGATTCATGCAGGTTTTGCATCAGGTGACTTCCTGTCAGATCTGCAACTTGAACAAGAAAACCCTTGTCTAAAGTTGCCAAAGTCTAAAGAACGTATTCTTATTTCCGGTAGTAATTGAGGCGTACATCGAAGACCTAAGGTGAGTAGGGGGTAAACACTTGATTGCAAAAAGTGGAGACCTAGGACAGTCTATGACATTTCGGCCGGAACCTATACCGACAAGAGTGATGGCGCAAACACTGGCCCACAATTGCTGGCGGGGCTGGGGAAGCATGTTTGTTTATTGGCACTTCAAAACCAACCTACATTCTATGCCATTGATCTTCAGAATGAAACTACTGCGCTTTTTGGCCTTGCTGATTCATGAAGCTTCTTTTGCTTGCAGGGCTTCCACCACTTTGTATACTGCGCTTGCAGCGGATCGCCAAAATTGTTCTCACAGGGTGGGATGTCGCTCTACAGCGGGTATCCTGATACACGAGCCCTGGCATCTCAATAAATCTATTTATATAAGTCCATCAAGAATGGGAATTGAACAAGACCTAGGACCTAGTCTGAAATGGTGAGAAGTCATGGAGACAAGCTTGCTTGGTGCGCTAAGGAAATGATTTTTGGTCTTACGATATTGCAGGCCTCAAGACTCGAGACAGTGAATTCTAACCAGCGACATGCTTTTGGAAGTACCGCAGCCACTCTGCATTTGCGTCCGTGACGAAAGTTGCAGGTCACTCGTGGACGTCACTTGGTACTTCAGGCCCTACCTATCGAGCGTATGGAGGCATGCTCTGTAGCAGGGATTGGCCTGTCTTTGCCTCAAGTATTGGCAAGGCACC